GAGCAAAGTACACGTAGCTTTGGAATTAGCAGTTCAGTATTCTCAAAATGCACTAGAAATAGCTCCTCTCCACAGGTGAGGGCTATTCTCTGTGTGGTTTGTGTCATAGGCTGTGCTTGCTTACCAGTGTCTGATTGGAAGAAGACTGGTTCTATGTAAAACTCAGGCTGAAAGGTGTCAGTAGATTTTCACCTAAACATTTTATGAGGAAACAGTTTTATATCATTCTGCACTCTTTAGAGCTCCACAGAATTACTCTGAAGAGTTTGGCTTCTAGTTTTAAGATGCAAATATGAATTTGTGGAACACAGAACTGAAGTACAAAGATCACTCATGCAGCTAATAAATGTGCCATTAAAGCTGATGGTGAAGCAAAGCTCCATGCTCACATCTGCATTATTGACAGCTCTCATTTATTTATGTGATTATCTCTGGAATTCATCTAAAGATAGATGGTTGTTATAAATGTACCTGCCAAGGCTTTCTAGAAATAACTAGCACTGCCTTCTGATAGTCTAAATACTTTAATTTTTGATTAAATGTTTTCTTATGTTTTGTGTTTATGAAGTGCAACTCATTCATAGTTCTAGAATATGTTGTAAAAAACTTAAAACCTTAACAGCTTAAATTAAGTAATAAAATTGATTTACTTAACATTTAAAACAATTTGGTAGGTCTGTGCCTTCCCTGTCTCTCATGATACAAGTAAAAACAACTTTTGTCATGCTCTATAAGTTTTTCATTATGTTTACTGACTGCAGTATTCTATGATATTGTTAACCTTCGAAATTTCTTAGCTGGATCATGCCACTTGAATAATTTTGTACAATCTGATTTGTGCAGTTAATTGTCCCAGGTTCTCTGCACTGTGAGATAGATGCCTTTTGATAAAACAAATTGACAGTATTGACATATGACCCATACCATAAGGAACCGGAGAAAAGACATAATGGAGAAGGTACTTCAGGCTACTTTTCTATCTTCAGGTTCACAGTCATGAAGTTGAAGAATTTCTACTTTTAATTGTGGAAGTTGTCAAGTTTTGATTCTTACCTGTGCATTTTAGAATCATTTCAGCACACCTGCAGTATAGCCAGGCCCAGAAACCAAAACCATTGTGCCTTTAAGTTCTAAGGTCAGCATCTTTCTGAAAAAATATTTGCCAACCACTTCTTATAGGCTAAAATAGTCACAGAATGAAAATACCATTCAGGTTGGTAGGGACTTCATGAGGTCTCTAGTATGACTTGCAGCTCAAAATAAGGCCAGTACTTAATTCAGATCAGATTGCTCAGGGTTTTGTCTTCACAGCCATCAAGGCTGGAAATTCCACAACCATTGTGGACCACCAGTGCTTAATTATCCATCGATACGGCTCCTATTTCATTTCACACAAATGGTTTCTCAAGTCTTCCACAGTGGAGTTGAGTGGCAGGCTTGGTTCCATCACACTTACGTTCTTCCTGCGTAGAAGAATGTAGGTTGGAAAGGCAGCTGGAGGTCAGCTAGTCTGGCTTGCTCAAATGTGCTCCAGTCGAAACACGTTGCTCAGGTTCTTACACAATTAAGCTTTTGAAAGTCCTGCTCCATAGTGGACTGCCACCTGCTTAGCACCTCCAGTAGCTCTTGCACATGAATGCTCTGGACCAGAGGACATCCTCCACAGTGAGGCCACTGTTGCCATCAGTGCAAGGGGCAGGCATTTCATGCAGCCTCAAATGCTGTATCCTCCCACCCCTTGGGGCTGTGTCTGAGGGCCTTTCCTATTCAGGGAGTCCTGTTTCAGACAGTGACAGGGACCTGGGCACCTCATGACTGGGCTTTTTACAGTCCTGCAGTGCCTACTGCAGAATTTCTTGTCCCCTTCTTGTGCAAGCTGTCCTGTTAACTGCTGAAGTAGTTATTTGGAGTGCATAATTCTATACATTGTTTTAACCTTTGCTTTCTTCACACCCTCCCAGCACCACCCTCCCCTTTCAAAAAAAAACCCAAACCAAAACAACAATAACAACCAAACCAAAAAAAACAACAAAACAAAAAACCCCACTCAACCATTCACAGAATAAGAATATGGCAGAATTCCGGGGGGAGAAAGCCTTGTTTATGTCTCTAGTAATGTTTTTTACTTCCATACCACTTGTAGAAGAAATAAAACAATTTGAACTTCAGTCTGTTTAGTTTATTGCTTAAAAAAGAGAGCATGTTCAGTAAACTTCTCTTACGTAGCATTCTTCTACAAAACAGGTGTGTAGTATATGAAGATGTCATTCTGGAGCTTTTAATTCTTGTCAGATATGTGTGTTAGAAATGCTTAAGAGTAAAGTCTGTTATGTTTCTTCAAAACAAGGAGGGGGAAAAATGCCCTAACCACATCAACTGTTAGTCAGGTTGCAATGCATCATATTGATAATTCCTAGAAGAATTTTGAATCCTGACACTGGTAGCAAAATAAGTGGTTTTCAGATCTCAGCATGTTGAACTAACCTTTTGATAAGCTTATGATAGATACATGCCAAAAAAGTACAAGGGGACCTTATCAGCTTTTCACCAGGAAGGGCTTCAAGGACACCGATCTCTGGCATATGGATCACAAACAGTTTTCTAATTTGGTTGCTCTGGTACCTGAGGGCTGACACAAGCTGGCTGTTGAGTAAATTTACAAGGAATGGTCTTTGATGCATGCATCACAATCTAGGTAAAGAGGTAAAAGTGTTAAGGCATGGGAAATTCAATCAGAACAATTCAAAGCTCTCCAAATAAGTGAAAAGTCCTTGTTTGGTAACTACATTACCTACTTCAACTAGATTACAGCTTTTTCTTCAGCCATTGGAGCAGAGAGACTGCAGTACTGAGAAGGTGGAATGACATGACTTGGAAGCATCTTTCAGAGAGGATGCTACCTTGTTAATCCTTGTTTGCTAATCCTAGTCCGCATTAGTGCAATTGTTTTTAACAGCAGGTGACAGCTGTGATTGCAATGAAACTAACAGTATGCTTTAGTTGGGAGCATAAAGTAGGTCAAACATGTTCTGTGTATTTTTTGAAAGACACACTAAGCCTTTTTAGTAAGCATCTGATCTTACCTCGAAAAGCTAGTAAGATGTGTGTGTGCATACACACATGCAGACACTTGTGATAAATTTTGGTATTGATGTTTATGTTTGAGGCCATCAAAACAATTACCAATGGTAATTGCTAAGTCAGGGCATTCTGTGTGATTGTATAAACATTCATGCACAAACACCATGAAGACCCTATAGAACAGACATGGTATTAAGCCCAAACAAATTGAAGGTCTGCATTTGTTGTAAACTTCTCTGCCTAGAAGTTGGATGAAAAATTCTTCACTTGATTTTTCTATACAGCATCACATCTCTCTCCCCAGCCCATTGTCAATAAATTAAGTAGGCTAAACGAAGTCTTCCATGCAGTAGAACTTAAACACAATCAAAGTTTTTTAATGCTGACAAAAATAGTATGACAACATGATGCAAAGCTGTTGCGAGTTTTGATTTATTGAGCTATGATTGGGCACTTTTGATAGAGGTTGCCTTGTAATCATTTTTCTCTACTCTTGTTTTTCTTGAGCTGGCTGAATTACACAAAGGTGCTGATTTTAAGCATTTATTTTATAGAATAGTCTTATAACTCAAATTCTCTACAGATATAAAAACACTTTATATTTGGATAAAACCTTCAGAATGAGCTTATATGTTTGTATTGGAATTCATATACTGGTCTGCTCAGGATGATTGGTATTATGAGATTGTGTTAAATGTGAAAATTAGTGGTGTGGGTATTTTCTTTAATGCAGTCTTTTTGAGGTTTTCAAGGAATACTGGAGCAGTTTGCTACTACAGCAGTGTGTCCTGAGCTTGTTAGAAATATTGTGAAGTCAATTTTCTTTCAAAAAAATCCAAATGTGCTCAAGGGGTGCCTCTATGCTTCCTGCAGTGGCCATGTTTGCTACTATTTTCACTGCCCTTCCCCCTCTTTCTTGCAGAAAAGCTCTGCAGCAGGAACAGGGTAGCCAGCTGCCCTGTTTTCAAATCTGAGAGGTATCTTGAAAACATCCCAGCATTGTATGATTTTTTTTTCAGTTGGTATTCTCATTTGAACCAGTCCCTTGGACAGTGACTTTTTACTGGTTTTGGCTGACCTTAACTTTTTTAACTTAATTGCTTTTACTTTGAAAAATTAACTTGTCCACTATTTCTGTTCAGATCTCTGATTTATAGTGCTCAAAAACAGCTATGAAAGTACTTTAGCATTTTTTAGTTAGTTGAATTTTAATTCTTTTTACTTCACACCCTTTTTTTTGTGAATTGGGATATTTGCCAGTAAAACAGATAGAAGAGCTAATCTCCAGACACACCTGGATGGCAAAGTCAGTAGTGCATGAGATTATAATTCATACTTTCTGAGTCTAGGGTCTGTTTGACTTGACTAGACATGTTCTAAAAAATTATGTAATTAAAAAAAAATTTTGGTTATGAAGACAAGTTATTGTTATGCTGTGATATGATAAAGATGATTTACCTCATCTTTGAGTTTGAAAGAATGATTTATATAAAATCTTGCTAAATCTTGCTAAAAATCCCACATGGGTTCTGTGGGAAACAAAAATTTTAACCTTTTTTTTTTTTATGCATTGTGCCAATTCAATTAATTTTAATAAAAGCACAGTTAATTTAAAAGTAGTATGTTTCCATGCAATAATTAAAATATTTTGTTTCCTTTATTTTCTCTGTGTGTAAATAAAAGAATGGACAAAAATCTACTACAAACTCAGTGTTTAATCTTTGTATCTTTAAATACCATGCTAGGAGCTCTCAATATTTGCTTCTCATGGAAAGGTTGTGGGGAGAAACTGAATTCAATTATTACAATCTGAGTCTATTTCTTCCTATTTCTTTTCATTATTAGTAGTGGCTATAAGTTTTTGTATGCTTCTAAAGATTCTTAAAGTATTCAGCATTTATTTCTTCTTGACATTGTAGGTTTGTTGCATTGACCCCTTGGAGAGTGTATCATCTGACTTCTCTCATAATACTTGGAGTGTTAATTCTTCAGATAATGAAGGATTTGGTATTCTCAAAAATAAAGGGTAAGTGTACTGATAGAGTTCCATGCTTAAAAACTTGCTATTTGGAGCATGCTAGTTCATTCATAAAGCCATGTCAATATTATGATTATTGTAAAAGTATCAGCTAATTTTAGAGAGTGATAGTAGATCTGTGATGGTCTATTGCCATTTCCAATGAAGTTCTGTGTTTTATAGGAAGGGCATTAGGAGACTTGTTTTAGCATTTAGATGAGTGTAATTGAGATAGAGAAATTACCTATCTTAGCACAGTTGAAATAAGAAGCGAGCAGTATTTTCTTTTTACTTTGTGTAGCATTTAGTTTCCAGTGTGTATAAAGTCTTATGTGAATACAACCAATTTTGAAAGGGATTTTGGGTTTGTTGGCTGGTCTAATGTTTTGGGTTGGTTTGGTTTTTTTTTTTAATTCTGTCCTGTACTTCATTAGCATCTTGAAAATTCTTTGACAAGATGTTCATCCTAAGTTTTAATTTTCATTGCCATTAAGTTGTGGTTTTTTTTCAAGATTCTTATTTTTTCTTTTGTTTGTTGTTAAATCCCATGCAAAGTTTCTTTTGTTTGTTGTTAAATCCCATGCAAAGTGTTTGAAAAACCATCTGAACATAGTTCAAAAGTAGGAAATAGGTGTCAGAGAAGCATGGTATTCTGTGATGTACTAACACATCATTTCTGACTGCCAAAGCCCGTTGTTCCCTGCTATGTTACAGCAGGTATTTGCTACCTTTTCTGAAGTATGATTTACTGTCATTCCCTTTTCTGGGAGTCTTGGATACCGTTCTGTTTCCTGCTTGAGTATTAAAAGCCCAGAGGCTAACTTATAAACCTAAACAGAATTTGATTTTTTAAGCTCTGTGCTGTATAAATCAACACAAACATTGAATACCTTGCTAGCTGGAAGGCAATGATTTAGGTAAATTCACTCATACCTGTAAATAATATTTTTGTAGTGAGCAAATCCAGGATGTACCACTCTCATGTTTGTGTGATTATTTAACCATTCATTTTAGAGATGAGGATAGGAAGATCTCTGTTCCCTAGCTTATAGAATAATTATTAACAGTAGTAAACTCATTTATTTTACTATTGCCTTTGATGCCATTGTAGACAGAGTTGAAGAAAAATCAGGTTCTCGAAGTAATAGTGTAGGAGTCTTGTAGTAATGAATAGAAATCAGTGAAGTGCCACTCACTCCAAAGAGCAGAAAAAGTTCTTCCCAGTGTAACACATCTGTGTAGCTGCTTCATGTTTCCAGCCAGCCACTAGATGGCAAGACTCTTACAGATTAATGAGGAATGTAGGGTGGTTGTCAGTGTATAGAGGTAAAGGGTATGTTGATGTAAAAGTTATGTTCATTATCATCTTCATGACATCCTTCCATGTGGAAATATAGCCATAGAAGATCCTGACTTCTTCTGTTTATGATTTTAACTGTCTGTTAAGTTTACAGAAAGCAATTCAAGAACAGTTGCTGTAAGATAATATAGCTTTCCTGTTTGACCAATACAGAGAATTCCTTGGTCATTTTGTCCCAATTCTGAGCACGTTCTATGCATAAAAAATAAAAATTCTGATTTAGTGCATTGTGTTTCATCTTACATTCCTACAATTGCAGGTGCACAGCTTTGGAGGACCATCACTGGCAAGTAGGTATTTTATTTTTAATGCATGGTTATTTATTACTTTATTTTTTATGGCTGGCCTGGATTTTTTTTTAAAGTCTGTTTTCCTGTAATAAATTGCTGAATTATTTTGATCTTAAAATATTTTCTAAGTTTATTATTGCTTGTTCATAATTTTTAATAGTTTCCTCTGATTTGAGTTATATTAACTCAAATTTTATAGAATGTTTCTATAAATGCTTTGTCTTACACTAGGATTATCATGATTTGTGTTTTCTGGGAATTAGTGCTTTCTTTGAAAAGCAGAATAATACTGTGTTGGTCAAGAAGGTAACTTTTAGAACTTCATTATACCAGTGCTGATGACTAGAAGTAGGTAAGCTTGCTGGAGTTTCTCTTTAAATCAACACACGTAATTGATCACTATAATTGCCAATAAATATTAGTTGATAAACCTATGAATAGAAATTTATAATTCTGAAGCCTATTGACTTGTCATTGACCTGTCTTAGGCAAATGTTTATGTCATATTAGTGTAGAGTATATAATTTATTTAATTTGTTGGCAGTTGTGTTGGTTCCAGCCAGGACAGTGTTAATTTTTGCAGTAGCCAGAAGGTGTGTGGCCAAGACCCAGAGGTTATTCTCTACCACTTCTCCTCATTTTCCAGGGATGTGGTAAGGAGTCCCTTCCAGGTCAAGTAGTATAGCAGCAGGGTCAGGTTTGGTCGGGGTTTACACATGGCATGTGAATCATTCACCTGCCATGTACACTCTGATAGTGTTGCTGTTACTGTTTGTTATTCTTTCTCATTGCTGTTTCCTATAAATTATTCTTATTTCAATCTGTGATCTTTACCTTTTCTGTCTCCATTTCTCCTGTCCAGCCCTCCACAGGGGAATGTGAGAGAGCAGGGTATGGTTTGGCGTGTTTCAATGGGAACACTGAACTGGGGAACATCATTCCTCAACCACAGCAGCAGTATAATCAGGATCTGAATGATTTACAGACAATCCATTTTCAGAACAAAAGATTGCGTATTTACGGCATTATTCTTCTAAACAGACCACTAGAATTTATTATATATCTGACATCATTTGAAAGCATATCTGCTGGTACACTATTGTCTTATAGCCTGACACTGAACAAACAGCAATGCAGAGTTGAAAAAGGGAATATGCCATGTTTTGTTCTCTTTCTAGAGACAGATACCAGTATCATAGCAATTACAGAAAGCAGTTCAGGTGTGCATCTCCTGTTCAGTTTCATACCTCTGAACTTCCACAAGTATGAAATCTCTTCAGACTTTCCTATAAGCATGAAATGGAGCAATATGGAATTGATGACAGCTTAGATCATGAACTGAGCAGAGTAAAATGCATCTTTTACCATAGCTGGTGCTACTTCATGTATCTGTGTAGCATGGCAGTGCTTCAAAAATTTTAATTGAGAAGCTATTGCTGTGGCACAGTAGATTAGTGTGATTTATGTTTCATTTCTTCCACCTGTTCTTTGTGAGAGAAATTTACATACAATTAGTAAACTGTCTTTTGGGGTTTTGAATCTGACTTACCTGTCTGTTTACATTTGAGAAGAGGAAGGCGAAGAAAGTCAAATTGCTTGTGAAGTGAAAGGAAACATAGGTTTTTGACTGCCTTTTTTTTCCATGAAAAAGAATTCTGCAGTCTGATACATTTTTTTTCTTATTCCCCAGTTCGTCAGATCCCCAAACCAACATAGTTTATTTTAATGAAAATAATATAAATAGTACTTTAAATATCTTGGATTCACATTTTCAGTTGTTCAGAATCTGGGACTTGATTTGCTGTTCTGTGGGGAGACAATGCAGAGAGTGAAAAAGAGAATTTGATGAGCTCACCATAACTCGTGCCCTTAGGTAATATAATACAAGCATTGTATGTGTCCATCTAGCCCAGCATCTGCTCTCTGAAGGGGTCCAGCCAGGAGAAGCATGACCTTGGGTAATGTCCTGCATTAAAGCAGGACAAGCTTGCAGGGTTCTCCTGGTGTACTTTCCCTACAGCTTCCTTACCCCCACCCCCATCCCAAGCTGTTCTAGGTGGACCTTCCATCAATTTGTCTCATTGCTTTTGACCTTAAAAACTTCAGCTGTTGGCAACATCCTGTAGCACAGAGATCCACAGTGAACCATGTGCTTTTGCGAACAGTCTTCTGCTTGTTTACTACTCTATAATAGTTTGTAAGCTCTTCCTTTATTTTTTTCTTGTTGGAAGAAATACTGAGCAATTACTCTCTATTAGTGTTTCCTGCAAGCTGTGATTTTATAAGCTTCTGTCCTGTCCTGTTCTCTTCAGTTCATGACTGCTTAATTGTTCCTAAAATAGAGGTTCTCTGAATTTTGATGTCTTTATTGTGCTTTTCTGCATTTTTCTTCCATTTCTGTGTTCCTTTTTGTTGAAGGAACAAGATTACAAATAGCATTCAGGGAGATCCTTGGACTATACATTGTCCCTCTCTTCTTTTAATAATAAATCCCAACACTGATTTATTTTTTTTTAACCTCTACTGAGCTCAGAGATGATATTTTTGTGGATATATAATCTCAAGTTAATGTCTTGAGCAGTAAAGATCAGCTAAAAGCCCATCTGACTTTAAGAGTTTTTGGTTTGGTTTTTTTCTCCTTGAATTTCTTCACATTTCATCTGCCTTTTTTCAAGAAATCATGTGATACTTGATTAAATTCTGCTGTTGCTTGAGACTGGTCTCTGTCTTTACTAGAATAATTCCTCTAATTTCTCATGGCTTCTCAGGCTCCATAAAAGCATTTGGTGAGAGATGTTGTTGAAAGCCTCCTCAGAAATCCAGGTGAATTTTTATAGACATCAGTGCTCATCTAAAAGCAGGTTCACTTTTTGAAAGGACTGAAGGTTTGTGATATGATGTCCTTTACAGCTTACATTAGGACAGGCATGCATGTCCTTTCTTAGTTTTCCTGACAGTTTGCACAGAGCAGAGATGAGTGTTTAGTAGTTTGCAGTTCTCTGGCTCTTGTGTACCTTCCCTAAAAATAGATATTGCTTTAGACACTTCACAGTCCTCTGCCTTAAGGCAGCTTTAAGAGACACTGTTTAACACAAATGAAATTTCAACTGTTGCACCCAGCCTTTCATTTGTAGCTTTTATAAGTTCACATAAAGACTGATTTGTTTGCACAGTGGGTGAGTTTTTCTGAATGCTACTATAAATTTTGACTGTGTTGAAATTGAAAGAACTGCTGTAAGATGTTGAGGCTGGGTGCATGGTTCCTTTTCATTTTACTCAAAATTGGATATGAAAAACTGTTTTCATGTTATCATATATAAGCAAAACTTGCCAAGTGTATCCCCCTATCCAGCAGAGAATCACCTGCTCCTAAGTAACTTAGAGAGAAAAAATGTGGTAGGTCTGTGATACTTTCAGTTAGAGACTACACCTATTCTAATAAATGTCTATTCTAATAAATTAAATGTGTGCATGATTTTTCTGTGGCACCACACCCTACAACCCTGCAGCCATAGTTTGTAACTGCCTTAAGGTCCATCCAGAATGGTTGTGTGCAGGCAGGAAAGGATTTCTGGTCTGTGCCAACTTGGAAACTGCTTTGGATTGTTTTGGCAAGTGCTAGTTGGCATCTGCCAAAAACGCGCCAGGAGCTGTTTTAATGGTTTAACTGTAGACCTGACCAATTCTAGTGCCTGACAGAATTGTCACACAGTTTATTTTATCAAAACAGATGTAGAATTTTCTGAACAGACTCATTTCCTGCCCTACATTTTTATTATGTGATTCTGGTTTTGAAAATTAATATCAGTCAGTCACTTTAACAGTAGAATGTTTCATAAATGGTGGCACCAATTTCTGATGAGTTTTGTAGTGAAATGGTAAACTTTTGCTAGTTGGAGGGTGAATTACTGACTGGGACTGTTCTGAAACTTGCATTTTTTCATTGTTCATGTGCATTGTGTATTTTGTCTGCTGCATGTACATTCCAAATATCAAAGACTGAAGTACTTTAGTGAAAATGCTGTTAATTTGTGGCACTTACTTTTGGTCCTCCTTCATTTTTGTTGAGCACTGCTGATTAGTCAAAGCAAGAATACTTTTTTTCATTGCATTATTTCCCATTTCATTAAATGCAGAATGCTTGTTGTTTCACCTGTAAAATGTGTCCATGTAAGAAGACCTGTGATTGTATTTCTAATGGAGTCATTTAGTACTATTTTAAGTTTAAAATTTCAAACTAAAGATAAGCTGAACCTTCCTTAGGGAAGGTAGCACTGTAGCCCCTTTTTTTCCCTAAATCTGGTTCTGTTTCTGAGGAGCTGCTCTACTGGTATCTTGCCATTTTTAAAAATGGGTGACAGCTGTTAAAGGAGCACTGGAAAAGGTCACTTGTTAAATTACTCTTCATCATTATAAAGCTGTTTTATTTCTTCCTATCCTAGTGAGATTTCTTTGAAATCTGGTGCTTCTCTAGTCAGTAGATGTATTAGAATATCCACAGGAATTGTAGCACACCTTCATTTCTTGAGTGATTAAAAAGGTCAAATTAATATTAAGGCAAAATTATTCTTTTATAGCAAGCCAAAAAAACCCCCTAGTTTCAGCCTGAGAAGGGACTAAACAACAGTCCTTTTAAATGGCCATCAGAGAGTGACTGGACAGAATAATCCAGAAAGAAAGGAGTTAGTGCTCTGAAGACCAGCAGCTCTGCCTGCATATCTTGTTTTCAGTCCCCTCTTATGTTTTATCATTTTCTCAAATCAAAGCTACTGACTTTTGGGAAGAGCCTGGCCTGACCAGTCATGGTGTTAAGGTCCCTACTGCACCAGTGGCTGCTTCAGCCACACAGACTGCAATAGGTGTGCAGTGCTTACTCTATTATTATACGTTAAATGTTTTGGATGTAATTCTTTGGGCTATGAAAATAAATCCTAAAAGAGTTCTCCTGGCCTTGTAGGTTGAAAGTTTTTTTTTATTCCCAAAGCACTTGTTATCCTCTG